ACAGGGTGGCTTTTCTTTTTCTTTTACCTTTTCTCTGGATAAAGGAAACTGTATTAATTTTATCTCGTCGAGAGAACAGTTGGCCCTTAATGCCTCTGCGAGAAGGAAATGGCTATACGTGCATTTGTGATTAAACGCTTGTGATATATTTATTAGGTGCTGTACAAATAGCACTTAGACTAAGAGGCTTTTAACATTTTCTTTACACAAATAAACACTCTTCCAGTTGCTGTTAACCACAGCTGGTGTGCCGCCCTTGTGGTGTTGAATTCGACTCCTGTTGTAACGGATCAGCCGGAGGTGCCACATCCGGAGCCGCCGGCTTTAGCTCTGGCGGGCAGACTAGAGCAGGCTTCTGCTGTATCTTTACGTGAGCAGAATTGGGTTGTGGGTGCGCATGGATAGGTATTTTCTGCTCCTGAGGCACCAGGCAACTGCGCAGTGCTTCAAATGCGGAGGCTGAACCAGGTCCTTCTCCCAGCGTGCCTGTACCTATCTGCCTAGGACTGATTTCGGAGTTGATCTGCAGGCTGATGATCTGATCCCTCTGTTGTAAGCCTACCTGTTGCGAGAAGCTTTCTCATTCAACCCTGTTGTGCTTGGTTGCTAGACCCGCTGTGTATTTTCTGAGACCTTGGAGTGGTTTTGACCTTTAAGGTGTCTTTGGCATTAAGAGCATCCTGGCTGGGAACCTGATTAAATAAGCTACCTCCCAGCGCTTGCCTTTTGATGTTACAGAACTGAAAGGCGTTACGCTGCAGACAACATCATTACTGTTTGGTTTGTTACAACAGCACCTCCTATGACCGTGCTCTGGAAAAAATTTCCACACGCCCATGACGTCACAGCCATTTGCTTTACGCTGCCTGGATACCAAAGAGTGCTTTTAACTCCTGGAGCACCATGTTACCGCACCCAGCTCTGCCCTCCGGCCCGGGCTACCTCCCCGGCCTCCGGTACACGTGAGGAAGATCAGAGGATGGAGTGCCTTTCTGACAGTGTCCCTTGGCCTCTGTGTCGCTGGCTGTCCCTTCGGCTTGCCTGTCTGTCATAAACTTGAAAAGAAAACAACCAGAACCACCTGCTTTCATCAGGCAGCTTCTCCAACAACAGAGCTTTATTTTTACGATGGGGCTGGGGAGTGAGGAGGAGGAATACTTCCACCTACTGCTTCCTCCCCTTCCCTTGTAGTGTGTCACTTCAAGTGCTTCAAGTAAACCACCTCTTTTTTTGTTTGCAATTAAATGAGGACAGTCTGAGATCAAGCAGGCTCTTTCAAGTACTCTGTGGCCTCTGTGCTGGCCTGCTTGTTCCTGCAGCCTGATTAGCATATAGTTGCTTGGCATGGGCTGGCTTATCCTTCCCGTAGGCGGCCTGGTGATGCCTAGTACGGCATGTTACTGGGCAGTTAATCAGTTGAGATAATCCTTGTAAACTGGTAACAGATACCCCGAGTCTGAGCCATGCTGCATCTCCAGGCTTTTCTCCACTTCCCCCCCCCCATCCCTCAAGATTGTTCTAGGCATCTCCCTTTAGACCAAAACTAAATTTTTCAGTATTACGTAGTTCAGTTTTTAATTGGTATAAGCAGTGCTAGAGTGCCTTTGTAAACATAGGCTACTGGGACATGTCTGAGTACTCTCCTACATTTGAGATTGAGTATTGGAGCTAAACACTGGTAAACGTGCGCTACTGGGACATGTCTGAGTACTTTCCTACATTTGAGATTGAGTATTGGAGCTAATTTGGGCCCAAATTCTGCACCTCCTGTCTTTAATGGAGGTGATAACCTGAATTACTAAGGGAGATGAAGCTTTATAATTGCTTGTAAATCTGAATGAAACATTTACTGTACACTGTCTTGGAAATAGCTTTGAGGCCCAGAGGTTTGTGGAATGGGTGTCTTTCAGAGCACATAGAGTGCCTTTGTAAACATAGGCTACTGGGACATGTCTGAGTACTCTCCTACATTTGAGATTGAGTATTGGAGCTAATTTGGGCCCAAATTCTGCACCTCCTGTCTTTAATGGAGGTGATAACCTGAATTACTAAGGGAGATGAAGCTTTATAATTGCTTGTAAATCTGAATGAAACATTTACTGTACACTGTCTTGGAAATAGCTTTGAGGCCCAGAGGTTTGTGGAATGGGTGTCTTTCAGAGCACACCCACAGTATGGCTTCTTGCTGTTGCGTACTTGATTCACTGAAAGTCTGTCACCTGTGATAGTGTGCAATGGTAGTGCTGGGTCAGCCAAGAGATCCTTTAAAATACGGAAGAACATGTTTTACAGTCCCAAATCCTGATTTGTGGATTTCTAGGTTTTCAGGGGCTCGTGCTTCCAGCCACCGAAACAACTGGAGTGACTTATATTTTCTGTCTGCATCAGGACATAATCTCACTGTTAAATATATGCGTCTGCGACAGGGCCTGCCATCTGAATTCAGTGTGCTGGGCTCTTCCTGGCAAGTGGCAAAGGCTGGAAATTCTGTCCCAAAATGTGACTGCCTAGAGGGCTTGATTTGATTCCTCCTTTGTTTTTCTTTTGCAGTTAAGATCCTCCTCTTCTATGTCATCTTCTACGGTTGCCTGGCAGGTATATTTATTGGGACCATCCAAGTGATGTTGCTCACTGTCAGTGAATTTGAGCCCAAATACCAGGATCGAGTGGCACCTCCAGGTAACTAAATAGGAGGCCTCTGTTTGACTTGGTGCAAGCTGTTCTGGGGAGGCGGGTTGGTTACTCACCTCAAGAAGGAGGATGAAATAAGCGTGTTGTTGCTGCAACACATATTTGTAGGGGGTGGGTATGTTCTCAGCCTTCTGTGTTAACAGTACTGGGGCTTGAAGGCAATCCTGCTAGAATTAAAGGTTGCATCACAAGAAATATGCCTCCTGTCTGAGAGGAGCTCGAGCCTGGATTACCCTTCTTCCATTCCCCTAAACGGAAGCGATGGAGTGAGGCCAAGAAGCTTCACTTGGGAATGAGCTGTGTGAAGAAGCTGGGCTCAGTTTTTCTTTCTTCATAGCCACTGTGTTTGGATGGGTAAGTGAAGGGACCATGGTAAAATGTTAGCTTTATCTGTGAAACTGGGATGCACAACGAGAAAGGGGACACCATTTCTGGGTGGCAAATACAACGCAGTAAGCACAATACTGAACTACACTGTGTGATCTAGAGGAGATGGTAGCATTTACTAATGGGTATTTAATTGAATGTATCTTGGGAGATTAAAGGTGGGTCTTGCAGTAGCTGATGCATTGAGCTATCTTTACTAGACAAAATAAGTCTCTGCTCAAAATTAAAATGACTGTTTGAGCAGTGTCTGTGGCCAGCCTGCCTTGGGTAGGGGCGAATGGAGTGACCAGCCCTTGCCGCAGGTTCCCCGCTCTGCCCGTCTGGGCCCTGCTGCGCTATTTGATTCCCAGCGCAGCCAGCAGCAGCTCGGAGCGTGGGGCGGGGGGGAGCTGCATGACTGCTGCTTTCCCACATTACAAATGACCTTGAGGCTGCTTGGCACTGGGGATGGTAACGATCTGTCTCCAGTTGCTCTGTAAAACAGTTCAGAAGCTTTTAATAACAGTGGTATTTAAGTGACAATTGTGAGGCTGATGGCTTGTAGCTACTGAAGTTGGCTTTGGTGTCGCATGGTGTCTTACAGCCCCACTGTCTGCAGTGCTGTGCTGTGATTATTGCCTGCTGTAACACCACGAGGAATGTTACCATCACCAAATGGTGTTGTATCTCAGCAAAGAATCATCTTTTTCAGATAACTGCTTTTCTACTAGCACTTTTTAAAGACAGAACAGACTGAAACTGCCGTGTTAGTGTGTGACTTTTTCTTATATGCTGGTATATTTTCTAATATACCAGCATGGCTGTGATAAATGCTGTCTTAAGCACTGAAAGTGGCTGTTTCTGTCTCTGCAACAGACTCTGACATTTGCAGGAAAGACTAAACCGTCACTGATACTGCCCAGAGCCATTAGCTGGATCTGAAAAGCCAACATGGCTAATGGTAGAGTAGTTGTTATTTTAATAATGTGCTTTTCCTGGGCTGAAACCCAGTGGTCTCACCAGACGTGAAATAATTAGCGAAGAAGCCCATGGATCTTGGGTCACATCCAGATAGACCTGCTGTTTAGCCTGATGTCACATAATTACTCATTCTAGGTAAACTGTTCACTTTCTGTGTAATAGCAGTTTGCAATTCTAATTTCAGAGTAACTCTGGTAACATTTCTGTGTAAGATTTCAACCTGCAGAGGATTTTTATTCGTCTCTTAATTGCATATTGCACCAGTTTTTTCTGGGGCTTATCCTTTTTTAGCCAAAAAAAGAAACTGAATTTCGATACGCTCTTGTGGCATGTACTACAGAAATCAAAATGGAGGAAGAATGAAAAGGTTGTCAAGGATCTTTGTAATGGGCTTTCAGGACATGTGCTGAAATCAAGGGGAACAAAGTGCAGCTGATTGACTATAAGACAGTAGGCAGCCAATAAACAAGGGTTTTGTACCAAGCTGTAATGGCAGATGCATATGACTTCAAGGAAATGATTGCCAGGGTCCTTTGCGACGCATCATGTGACAGCTCTTTCTACAGATGTGGACAAGCTGTGGGGGTAAGGTGTGGTGGAGGTTGGCCCGTAAGGTTGAGTCTGTTCCTCATTCTGTAGCACAGCAGCCATTAGACCACAAGCCAAAAATAGCCTTTTAATGTCGGCTTTCAGCGAGACTGACACAGTAGTGAGTTGGTGCAGCGCTGTGTTTTGGAGGTCAGCAGTGCTTGAATTCAGCTGCTGTGCGGGGCTCTCCCCTCCGCTGCAAGCACGCTGCTCTTCTTACAGCGAGCACACGTGTGGGCATGTTCACTCCTGCACTTGGTGAGCATCAGACTCCAATTTTTTGTGATCTGGGACCACTGCGGACTGTGAACTACATAAAATAGGGTGTTGTGCAATTCTAATTCCTGGTTCTTGTGGGAAGATTTGCAAGCCAAGTAAGTATATTGGCAGCTTGATAAAAGCCCTGGATTTTCTAGGAAGCTAGAGAACCTGGTTTTATTCTTGTTACAGTGCTCTGTCCTTCTTGGGCAGGTCCCTGTTGTATCAGCCCAGAATGGCTGGGAAGGGGAAAACTACACTTCCCTTCAGGATTTGCAGAAGCAAATGCTGTAGCGGCTGCTGTAATATAATTCTTGTTCTGAAATACAACAGATTTTGTAACAGCAACAGAACCTACAGGATGTTTTATTGAGTTATTGACACGGATATAACATTGAAAGTCATAAAGTGCTATTTTTGTTGCCAAGTGTCATTAATATGCTAATTGGTTTCTGCACTGAACACAACAGGAATGTTATACAGGGCTTCAGGGCAAGCTGAGTTTTGTACCTTTCCATGATACTATTTCTTTTCCCTCCTCTTTTGTCTTGATGGGGGAAGGGACAGCATAGCTCGCCACCTTGTCCAGCCTTGCCATTGCGACAGCCCCAGCTCCCGGTTCCATGTGTGCTGCAGGCCCGGACTCTGCTTTAAGCACAGAAGACTTACCCCCCCTAATAGGGAAGGATGAGGATATTGCCTCTTCAACAGTGTGCTGAATGGTTAAAAAACCAATGCTCTGTTCTGTTCTGCCCCTGCCCTTCCCCACTGCAGTATCACTTGGGCTGTGCACCCTGCCATCTTGTGGTGTGCGTCCTGTGAAGCTCAGCATCCCGTCACTAGGGCTGGTGTGGGGGTGAGCGACCTCACTGCTGCCTAAGGCTCTTCTGAAGGGGTGGCTGGAAGGAGGGGTCCCTGCTGAAGCCAGGGGATTTCAGGTGTCCCTGCTTCAGGTGCTGCCTGGCCACGATGTGCCTGGGCAGTGAGCGTGCCGTGGAAAAGGCTGCTCTGGTGTGTGTTCCCCACCTGGCTTATTTAGCTTGGATAGCAGCACGGAGGTGGCGGGAAGGCCCCAAGGAGGGTGTGCTGCCTCCTGTCAAGTCTCACTTCTCTGCTTCTGTCTCTTGTCATCTCAGCACCTATGTTTAGAAAAAAATCTCTGAATCTCAAGCTCCAGGGAAGTTCTCTGCCAAGCAGATTTTGCTGCATTTGTGGAGAACTTGCACCTGCTTTTTGCACTTTAGGGATGAGGTAGAGGGTGACTGGGAGCTTGGAAGGACATTGCTTGGTGTGGAGGCCTTTAAAGTCTATCCTCATTTAGTGAGCTGGGGGGGGTGATAAATAGGAATGGTGTAACGGTCATCTGTGTCATCCCAGGAGTGTTCAGCTTCCTTCTGAACCAAGATTACGTGGTACTTGGAAATGAGCATTGCATGATGAAGCAAGAGTGGTTACTATGGACTTACACAACCATTCCTAATAACAAGCCTGACTTCCCACTTGTAGTTTCTTCCTCTTCTCACCCTCAGGACACTGTTTTTCCTGAAGTCTTGCTCTTGCAGCTTAGAATGATAAAGTCTATGTGGAAAATCCAGTTTTAGTGAACTTGAATAAATGTGATTTTTAATCTGCAGTGGTGTATTGGAAGTGGAACTGTAGCTGAAGAAAAAAAAATCAATGACTTTACATGGTTTTTTTGGCTTTTGGTATCTTTGTACATCCAGAGAGTTGGAAAGCCAACAGAAGGTGGAGTCTGTTACCAAGTCAAGGCATCACTCGTCATTTATATGGACAATGTCAGTCAAGTGAAGATAGGAATCCTATTTCCTAGTAATGAGCTCTAACAGCTAATTGCAGAAATCTCCTAAAGTAGTTTGTCAGTATTTTAGCAAGAAGTTACTTGATTCTTCCATGTGTGAAGAACAGCATCACCACACGTGACACCGTGGTGTGTCTCTGTGGCAATAGCATGAGATGCAGAACTGGCAAAGAGATTATAGTCTGAAGGTGAGGAGAGGGTTCTTTAGACTCCTGGCTATGAAAGCACGTGAGGCTTTTCCCCCACAGGACTTGCTTATGAATGGCTTCCTCATGTGCGTGAAGCCCCTGAGAGGGTTATTCATGCCTGTAACTTCTTGGAGCCACATGCTTCCTTAGGTGTCTGGCAACCTGTGGTAGGTAGCACTGGAATGGCTCAGCTTTGTAACTTTTTTCTTGTCCCTACTTGTTTCAGTTCCCTAATGGGGATGAGAGAAGGTTTCAGAAAGGTTATACAAGTGTTCTGCTGAGGTTACCTCCTCTCATCATACTAAATTAACAGACGTTTTTCTTTTCAAACAAGATTGCTTAAGGAGGATTCAGTGATAGTGCTGCTGTGATAACAGCACTGAAGCTTTATTTTAGCTATGGGATGTACAGATGGAAAACAAAGAGGGAAATGATAGATCTGTGCTTGGGGCTTTGCATCCAGTCAGTTGCAGGCATGTGAGAATGGAGGTTGTGGTGGAAGCCAGTAATACATTTTTTAATCAAGGTAAATCTATTTTTCATAACAAGCTTTTCATCTTCACAAAGGTTTACTTCCTTGCTTCAGAAGTGGGAAGATTGAAGTCTACTTTGCTCTTTTCCTAAACAAAGCAAGCACCTGCTGTACCAAAGCCTGGTCCCAGTCTGGTTCATCCAAGTACCTGTAAATGCCCACAGTTTGGCTGAAAGCAGCCCAGCTACGGCCACAGGCTGAGTCTACCTGGCAGGAGCTGTTGTTCTCTTGTGCTGGCTGCTGGAGCAGCTGCACCGAGGTACTGCTTGGGCTTCGGTGCTGTGCTGCAAGGATTGGCCAGACAAGGATGCTTTGGGATGGGAGTCTGTTCTCCCAGCCATGTCACTTGTCTCGTGGGCGGAGGGTTGGCTTTGGACTGCTCATATCAGTGGCCAGGCTCTCCTAACCAGAGAACAGGGATATTTTAGGTGGCTTTCACACACCACGGGGTGTACATTGACCTTCCCTTCACCTCTGCTATGCCTGCGTGGGTGCCTTTGTGCACTGCCTCATACAAGACAAAAAACGGGTGGGGAGTGCCTTTGTTTTAGAGGCCCTGAGGAAAACTAATAGTTTAACTGCCTGACCAAAGCTTAACAAGCCTGGCCAAGCTTTCTTGAATTTTATATTTATACATGAATGACACACCTGTAACTTGAACTCACTCTGGGAAAGGCAGACCCAGGAGAGGAACCAAGGCCTGGCCTGCCTTTGCTGCAATTCCAGATAGCCACTTCAAGTGACTCTGAGCCTGCTGCTTCCCAGCTGAGTGGTAACATGAGCAGGGTTTGGCAGGATGGGATTGAAGTCCCTTACTAAAATTGAACCCAGCTTATTTTATATATATTTATAACTGTTTGTAAAGCAAGTAATTGCTCAAAAAGGGGTTGGAAGCTGCTGACTTTGGAGGGTAGGATGTAGTTCTGCTAGTGGAGTGGTAAGCTGCTTCTAAACTTCTGACGCTCACCCTCTGGTCAGTTTGTACCAGGGGGAGTTCTGAGCGGTTAAAGCTGCTTCCTGGAATAAAACTCGAAACTCCTGAGCGACTTGCTGGATGTCTCGCTATCTTTGGCAACTCGGAGCTGCGTTTAGGGGAATAAAGCTAATCTTTGTCCTAGGTTACAAATTCCAACTCAGTGGGTAGCCGGGGGGGGCGGGTGTGGTGAGCTGGCTTGAGGAGGGACTAAGCAGAAGCACTCAAGGGGTTTTGGAAAAATTGCTGGAGTCACAAGCTCTTGCAGGTTAGGGCCAGCCAGCTAAGCTGCTTGGGTTTTGCACCAGGGGAACTTGTTGGCAACAGGCCTGTTCTGAAAGCTGTCAGAGCAAATGCTGCTCCCCTGCTCCTTTTTCTTGTTCTTGCTAAAATGAAGATGACAAAGTGAACAGGAGTCAAGACCTCAATAATTACAGTGACTGCCAAAAAGCAGCATAAACTCCAGTTCCCATTACTTAAGTTTAAAGCGTTAGCTGTGCATCAATGCATTCAATTAAAATGTGACCTACACATCATGCAGGAGCAGCTATTTCCAAGTCCTGTAATGAAAAGCAAAGGGGTTGGTGCTTTTCGTCATCTGTAGCCATTACTTGCATCTAGTCCCTTCTCTTCTCCACACTTTCTTTTTCTGTTCCTCCTCCTGAAGTCAAAAGCAGAGCTAGTTACGCAGCCCAGAATCTAGGGCAGCCTTTTAAACATCTCTCCTGTGTGGTGGTATTTCCTACTTGGTGATGAGCTTCTGATGGGAGGGCTCAGAAGGCTATTTCTGCGGTCAGCAATATCTGCTTGTGGAGTGAAAAGACCAGCAAAAGTGATCAGGCTGATCAATTTACTGAGTGAGAAAATGTCTCCTGCCCTGCATCCTACAAGGGGGACTGCACCAAGGCGATGTGGGTTACAGCCAGCAGAGAGTGACCGTGCCTGACCTGGCGGAACCTCTCGCCTTCAATCGCAAGGGTTCTTGAGCGGACAGCTCTGACGTATCCCAAACACATCGTGTGTTTTGCAGACTTTCAAGTCAACCTACTGGGGGCACATATGCAAGAGCAGGCTTCTGTGGGACTTTATTTTGTGCGCTTGGTCTCACGTGCAGAGAGTTCCCCTTCTGACCTTGAGGAGGAGACAGAAGTAGGCAGGGGACCTGTGGTTGACTGTTTTTCTTGAGGAAAACCTTGACTTGTAGCCTCCCTTCTGGATTTCTGATTTTTATCTGCTTAGTGATGCAGACATCATGACAAATATTCCAGGCTGTTGTTGGAAAGAGGAGATAAGAGCCTGTCAGAGCCTCCCCTCTAGTGAGCTTAAGCTGTTTTGTGCAAGTCCTGAAGTCTGAAAAATAGAGTTTATTAGAATGAGTTACGTTCTTGGTGTGTGTTGCATTGCCTGGCGGCTGTGCAGCTCTGAGGTGTACTTAATGTTTTCTTCCCGATTTTGCTTTTCTTAGGACTGACTCAAATCCCCCAGGTACAAAAGACAGAAATTTCCTTTACTGCCTCTGATCCCAAAAGTTTTGAGCCGTATGTGAAGAACCTCGAGAAGTTCTTAAAAGACTACAGCGCCGATCAACAAACTGAAAACATAATATTTGAGGACTGTGGGGGTAAGTCTCGATTGTTTCCTGCCACTGAGGGCTCTGACCAGTGCCTCTGCATCAGGTCCATCAGACGCTGAGGGTGAGCAGTGGTGGTCTCCGTCTTCAGCTATTCCTTTTATTGTAACTAACGGCATGTTGGTGAACTGGCCGGCTCTGGTTTCAGTCATATGACTGCTTGTTAAATTAGCTTGGGCAGACCAGACTTGGCCGGGATGTACCTAGAAGCTCATTGTAGAGGTTTTATGGTTGGGAACTCCCCAATTTCACTTGGAGGAAGTTGCAGCTGACTCTCAGAAGCACGTGGCACTGACCTTATCCTCTCTGAAAGCCACGGGGGCTTTACTGGTGACTTTCCTAAAGCCAGTCTCGGTCCTCTTGGTGCAATGCAGCAAAATGTTGGGGAGGTATTAACCGTTAATGTAATAATGCAAATGAGACTTACCACCTCATAATATGTGCATATAAAATCTTACAGGGAACTCACTTGTAAAAGCTGCCAAAAAAAATAATCTCTGAGGTAGTGTGTGTTCTCTTGTTGCCTGGAAGAATCCTCAGTTAAAAACCACAACCCCCTCAAACTTGCTGGTCTGGGACCAGCCCACACATGGGGGCTGGCTGGGTGCAGGTTGGTGGTGTCACTTACCTGTGTGGATGAGGGGGAAATCCAAACTACACAGTGAGCCTGAGTGTTGCTGTTCCTGACAAGCAAAAGATCACCTTGCAATGGTTGTCTTTTCATTCCCCCACCATGACAGATGTACCTAACAATTACAAAGAGAGAGGACAATATAACGATGTCCAGGGCCAGAAGAAGGTCTGCAAGTTCAAACGTGAGTGGCTGGAAAACTGTTCTGGAATAAATGATCCCACCTTTGGGTACAGGGATGGCAAACCATGCATCCTCGTCAAGCTCAACAGAATTATCGGCTTCAGACCTAAGGCAAGTATCTCTTCCCTTTCTAGCAGAAACCACTGATAAGGAGGAATTGGCTGCAGATTTGCTGTGCCTGCTTTTCTGTCTCTGGAGAGAGATCAGTATTAAACTTCTGCAGAGGAGAAATAGATGATTTGAGTGTAACTGGTTTTAAAAATACTTTTCATTAAAAAGCAATGAAAACTGCACGCTGCAAGTTGGTAACAAGTAGCAATGAACCTCACAGTGCAAACTCCGGGTTATTTATCTGGTAACTTCCGAGCCTGCTACCTGAATTGCTCTAACGGCATATTTTCTTGATAAATGATAAAAGCATTTTAAGTTCCTATGTGTTTCCATGGGACCGTCCCAGACCTACTCTTATCTGTAGCAAGATCAGTACATTGTGTCATGCTCCGATCTACTCCATTCTTTCCTCAGGCAGTGTAGAGTTGCCTGCCTTGCTAAAACCACTTAATTAAATGAAGTAGTGCTAATATTGACTACCAGACTGCAACATAGGCTATAAAGTGTAAATTAAATCTGGGAGTCAGGCACAGCAAGAAAGGTGAGGAGATCTTTAGGTTATTATTTCATGCAGTTTCCCAGACACTGTAGGATGTCTCTTGTCACCCACTTGCTCTGTGCTGCACCTGAAGGCATGCTTGCAGTAACGCTGAAGGATGTTTATCTGGACAGGAACAGCTTTTACTTCTAGTTTTTTCCCCCAATGCGTTTAAATGCCAAAAAATTAGTGAAGAATTCAGTGGCAAAGCACATGCTATTGAATGAGGTGGTGTGCAAAACCTGCCACTCCTCCTTCTGGATGGAAAACGGTGCAAACAGTGTGCTAAGCCGCCTTCACCACCATCCATCGGTGCAGTCGAGGACAGGGAATGGTGCTGTCCAGCTAATGAGTTCTGAGGAGCATTTTTCTTTGATGGGAGCCTGTCCTGTGCTAAAAGAAGTAAGTTGAAATTTGGCTCCTCTGATCCAGGGTGGAAACAGTGGGTGCATTTTAGCAGGAGTGTGCTGTGCTTAATATGTGGTGGCTGTAAGATGCGCACATTTGATGACTGGGAAAGAGAAGGGTCTGGTGTGTTCCTCTTTTCTTTGCCACAGAGCTCTGAAGAGCTCCAGACCGCATTAGACAGCAGGGTCTAGTGAAGGGATGACTTTACGTTTCCTTTAGAAGTGATGTGTGTATATCCAAGGCAGTACTTGTTTTCCTTGTTCCACGCTCCAGCAGAGACCCTATAGCTCTTGTGTTGGGCAAGGTGTGCGTAAAGCAGATCTGACAAGGTTGTGGAGCAGAACTATTCCACTAGAACTATTCTCCTGTCAGACCAAAGAGTGACAGGAGAGTTGTCGCTCCCACCTTTCCCTGACATACTCCCAGCCTTTGTCCTTCCCTGTAGCGGTGTGACGGCCACTCTTCATGCGTTCCCAGCCCTCACTGCGCACAGCCCACGGGCAGGTGGCAAGTCCTCCAGCAGCCCGTCTCTTCCTGCCGCTGCCTGGGCTTTGCACAAACAAGCCCCCCTAGCTAGCACTCTGCTGTGAAACGCTTCCCCCCGCGATACCACAAAAATCAAACATCGCCTGATGTCCTTGCCTTGGTATTCACAGCAGTGAAGCTGTAAGACCAGGTAACGGCTCTGCTCCGGTTAAGTTCCCCTGCTTCTAGTGGTGTTGCACTGCTCGTCTGTCCCAAGAACCACCACCACGAGCTCTTTGTTGCCTCTCAACCCAAGCTAGAAGGGATTCTAGTTCAGGGCACGTGTTTGGTACCACTGACCTTTGCTGCTGCAGTCTGCAGAGAAGTGTCTGGGCTGTAACGTCCCCTTGGTTTGGGTTTCTTCCAGGCTCCGGAAAATGAGAGCCTTCCTGCAGAAGTTATGGCAAAATACAACCCGTATCTCATCCCTGTCCACTGCGCTGCCAAGGTAAGTTGAAATGCAACAGCGCAGGGAAGCTGCAGGGGACGGTGTCAGTCGTTATCCAAGTGTCGTTACCCCCTCTGCCGTTCTGCAGGTGGGGGGGGTGGATGGGGGTGGGGCTCTTACTTGGGCTATCTCCCCCTTTGGAACAGGAATTTCTCAAAACCCCACTGATGATGGATGACAATTAGTGCTGCCCTCACGGCAGGGGCGTAAAAGCAAGGCCAGGTAGTAAAAGGTGTCCTCAAAAGTGGCCATTTTGCTTCCAAATGCTGTACTGGCGCTCTAAGCAGGGACAGCTGAAAAAAGAACCGCAGCGAAGAAAGATTTTACTTGGTGTTGTAAAGCAGCTGAGAAACAGCAAACAAATTTTTTTTTTTTTTTCCTCTTTTTGAGCCAAAGCTAGTGCACTGGTGTGACAGGAAGGTGCGGTGGTTTCTGAATGAGTACAGTGGTTGACATTTTAAATAACAAAAAAGTCCTTTTCGTGCTGAGAGGTGCTTGTTGCGTAGCTACTGGTTAGACAGCGCTTCGGTGACCTCACCGCCACTGGGGCGTCCTCGTGCTGTCAGGGTGAGGATCAGCGATGACTACAGAGGGGTCTCGGTGAAAAACAACAGATGTCACTAGGGAAAAGGGCTGCAAAACGTAGAGTTTGGGTGATTGTCATGGTTTGTTCTTCCTTTTCCCACCTCTAGAGAGAGGACGATGTAGACAAAATAGGCACAGTGGAGTACTATGGGATGGGCGGCTACCCTGGCTTTGCCCTGCAGTACTACCCCTACTACGGCAAGCTCCTGCAGCCGCGGTACCTGCAGCCGCTGGTGGCCGTGCAGTTCACCAACCTGACCTACGACGTGGAGGTGCGCGTGGAATGCAGGGCCTACGGGCAAAACATCCAGTACAGCGACAAAGACCGCTTCCAGGGACGCTTTGATATTAAATTTGACATAAAAAGCAGCTGATTGTAAGCACAACTCTGTTCCCACCCACCCCCCACTCCTCCTCCTAGCCATTTAAAAAGGTTAAAAAAAAAAAAAAAGAACAAAAAAGAAAACCTACTAGTCTTGAACAAACTGTCATACGTATGGGACCTACACGTAATCTATATGCTTTACACTAGCTTTCTGCATTTACTAGGTTAGAATGTAAACAAAGTGTAGCAATAGCGACAAATATTTATTCTACTGTAAATGACAAAAGAAAACAAAATTGAGCCTTGGGACATGCCCATTTTTACTGTAAATTATGATTCCATAACTGACTTGTAGTAAGCAGTGTTTCTGGCCCCTAAGTATTGCTGCCTTGTGTATTTTATTTAGTGTACAGTACTATAGGTGCATACTCTGGTCATTTTTCAAGCCATGTATTGTATCTGTTTTCTACTTCTTGTGAGCAAAGACTTTTGCTGTCCAAGGTGTAAATACTCAGTGGGACTAGAACTGGCATGATACTTCTCATTATTTTGTTCCTTTTCAAAGAAAGGCCCACCTGTGAGACTATATTTAACAGCACTCCATAAGGCTTCTGACTTTTCTGTCATGTTAGGGTATTTTATTTGGAGGGGTGGCAGGGGAAACTAACTTAAGTGAAGTTAAAGAGAATAGATGATTGTGTACTGTGCTTTGTAGCGAATGCTGTCTCTCTCTCTCCACCTCTTCCCTCATCCTCCCGTGTGTTGTGTGAGAGACTGGGTCAGACTATCACTCTCCTCGGTGATAGGCATAACTCTTTGCTTTGTATATTTTCTTTCCTTTTTTTTTTTTTTTTCCCCTCCTGCTGGAAGCATCGCACACTGTGGTGCTAATGTCTTTATTGAATGTTTTAACCATTTTCATGGTGGAAGAATTTTATATTTATGCAGTTGTACAATTTTATTTTTTCTGCAAGAAAGTGTAATGTATGAAATAAACCAAAGTCACATGTTTGAAAATAAATCTTTATTTTAAACTTTATAAAAGCAATGCAGTACCCCATAGAATGGTGTTAAATGTTGTCTAAAGTGCAAAACTCTATGTTCTAACATGTAATAATAGCCAGGAGTACAGTGCTCTTGTTGATCTTGTATTTCAGTCAGGTTGAAACATTGGACAAATAAACGAATGAACACACCGTTCTGCGTGCACGTCTTTTGCATTGGGTGAGGATGGAGGCTGTCAGTTGTCCAGAATCTTGAAGAAGTACTGCACCTGTTTCAGATGGAAAACACACCTGTATCGTTCCCAGAATGCTTGGCGGAAGGTAGCTGAAACAGGCATTGGGCTTGCCTTACGTTGCCGCTCCCACCTGTGAGCAAAGGTGTTACACAGCAGCCCTAGGACAGGGGGGGTTTGGTGCGAGTTACGTCTTTTCCCTGAGCTCATGAGAGGCTGCTGTGGCACATGTACCCGTGATCACCCCCGTCGGGAACCCAAAGAGTCTCTGTGACTGGAGGCAGAGGCCACACAGCCTGGTAGTAACTGCAGGTAAAAGCGGTTTATGCTCAGTGCAGGTTAAAGCAGCCACCAGCGCTGTGTGCTGCAGGTCCGGCGGCGAGGGCAGGGCGCACACATTGAAGCCGCAAGCAGGAGAAACACGAGTTTCATGGCAGCGACTGGTTCTGTGTTGCTGCTGGGCCGATAGCTCAGCGCCGAGAACAGGCTCTGCCTGACAGCGCAGCTCAGATGTGACAACATGTGGCGGGTGGCTTCCAGCAGGAGTCACGATCACTTCGTGCTGCATGAGGCAGATTACGAGGGAGAAGCGCGCTGTCTAAAGTGACAAAACGTGACTATCCTAGAGCAAGCTGCTTGATAAAGCCTTCCTCATTGGAACACGACGATACTGGAAAAGCAACCTGCTAAACTTTTTGCCATCTGCTAGCTGGAGCAGCATGGTTACGGTACGCTATGGCGGATAGCGTACGCATTTGGCTGTTT